ATGCCCCAGCCAAGAGCGTTTCCTTCGCTAGTGCTGAGTAGCCTATATTCTTAGAAAAGTATAACAGCAGGCAAACAGCTAGTATTTGCTCTAGTTCTATCACCTAGAAAATCTCAGCTATACTTTTTTCCATACAGAATAGGGCAGATGTGACATAACGTGTTTCTGTTCCCATCAACAGGCTTATATCTGCAAAATTTGGTTGTTTCCTTTGGTCTTGAAAAGAACAGCTTGTATCCTTAGCAAGCGGGGAAAATAGTCTGGCATATTCGGGAAAAAAAGTATTACCAATATTCAAAGAACTCACATTTTTAATTAGTATAAAATATACAAATCCACACAGAATAAAAGGAAGATTTTTGAAAATTAGAGAATCTTCTCTTGAAAATTAAGAACATTTTAATTTTACTAAGGTTAGGTGCATGCAGTCAAACCACCTTGATATATTCCACCTCCTTGCTTCAATTTTTGTAGTGTCACATCTGATACCTACCAGTCACTGACAGTCACTTTCCTGCAGGGAAAAAACACCGACCCTGAGAGTTACCTGATTTTTTGATTGGAAGTACTGTTCACTTGCTCTGGAAATGCTGACTCAGTTGACAGCTCAAAAAAAATGTAAAACCAGAGAAGTCCTCTGGCACCTTTATGTGAGAACATCTGCTAAGCTGATAGAAATTAGCCTTTACTGCATTTATTTATTTACTTGCCAACGCTATACAGCGCTCTTTATGATGTACTTCAGAGCATGCTCTGCTCTGTTCCTCTGTAGGATGGAGTTAGCAGTCTGCCTATGCTGAAAGTCAGGCTGGTGGGCAGAATTCCAGAAACGTATGGTGGATAATTCAGGGGTTGCATAGAATTTCAGTACTTTCTAATCATTGGCGCTTAGGTTGATAAGGATTTGAGGGACAGATGTACAGAGAGAAATAAAAGAAATTGTGGTCCAAGGAGTGGGGGCTGGGAGGGGAGCGGTCACAAGGAATCTGTAAGCCTGTAATCCGGACGCCTCTCTGGAAAACAAAGATTTGTGGTACGTATGCATCTTGCAATACGGAGTCACAAGGGAAAAATGCATAACATCATTGGGATTATTATAATCCCAGAATAAAGCTCTCTTACTGGGTCATTCAACGACTTTTCTGGCACAGTAATATAGCTGAATGTGATGGATGGAGATTTCCACTGCCTCATTCAGGTCATATCCTAGTGGGTGTGGACACCCTCTTGGATCGTGTGGTGTTGAATTGGATCCCGTCCCGCGAGGAAGATGAAGAATCTGTGTTTAGGAAGCTCCTGAGAAAACTATCTGCCTGCTGGACCTTTATACACTACTGGTGCAATATTAGTGCCAGCACGTTTCCCATTCTGCAGGTTGAATCAAATACCATGGCTGTCGCCCACTGGGCTGAACTCGCTTCTGTTACTGCCATCCCTGAGAGCCGATGGTGCCGTGTGTATGATCTGAGATGTTATAAGACATGAGCTGGGTGCTGAGATGCGCAGGCAGGATATGAACACTTCAGGGCACGCACCTTGGTAGCACTTCAGACACAGGAGCTTGCGACAAAAGCTCAGGTGCTTACTGATTTTTGGTGGTTGGGTGGAGCTGTTGTTGTTCAACTCAGTTTTTGCGTTTCAGCGTCTTTGTTTTCTGTCCAAAGCCACTTGACTCCTTGTTGGTGTGGAGTAGCCTGCTCCAGTCCTGCTTCAGGTCATTTCTTTTCAAAAAGTATTATATAGTCTATAACACTTTGAACCCAAGAGCTACCTACACTTATTTCACTGTTGCGACATATCATTTGAGCTTCAGGAAAGTCCTACTGGTCAGTCTCAACCATTTTTCCTTTGTTTTCTTGCAGGCTCTGATACTTCACCAGCTCGGGCGCTACAGCTTGGCAGAGAAGATTCTCAGAGATGCCGTCCAGGTGAACTCCACGGCCCATGAGGTCTGGAACGGCCTGGGAGAGGTGCTGCAGGCTCAAGGCAATGATGATGCCGCGACCGAATGCTTCCTGACGGCACTGGAGCTTGAAGCTAGCAGTCCCGTGGTCCCTTTCACCATCATTCCCAGAATCCTTTGAGAGGGCATCTCGATCAACCGATTTTGGTCTGACTTCTGGGTGAGGAAACCCAGTGTGTCAGGCTGCCTGGTAACTGGTTAGTTTGAAAAACTTTAGAGCTTCAGGTAGCAAACTCCAGTCTTTTGCAGAAAAGTGGCCAAAACAGTGACGTGATGCAATATATTAATGTTAGACTGAGAGGACAAAATGGCTAGCCAGAACCAAATCACTCCTATCGCCTACATTTTTGCCCTGGTAGTTTTAAAACATCGTTATATTGTTCATGGATGATGTGCCATATTTTGTTAGTGATACTTGAGTGTTACATAAAATTATAATGGAATCAACTACCAAATGTAGAATAAGTTAAAATTCAGTGGCAGAGCAGACTATTTTTAACAAGGCTGTTAATAAAACTGTTCTCTTCCTGCCTCTCAACCTCTTTTGGCCCAAAGTCAAAATGTGAATTTTCTGTTTCCATCTCTATTTTAGTCCAGGCCAGAAAATCAGTTGAGTTCTTGTTTTTAGTTGTTAATAACTGTGATGTGTGGCTAACTGTTATCTCTATTTAGAGCAAAGGCTGAGTACAAGAATATTTATATTTTACCAATGTATGCCTGTTACAAAAAATATATTAGTTATTTAAGTTTAACTTTTTTATGTGAATTCAGAGTTTATTTATCAATGGAAATATGTAAAAAAGAAGCCTCAAATGGAATATTTACCGACATTCCTTATACATGTCCCACACTTGGCTAAATGGGAAGATTATGTTAATAATAAAATGATTTTTAAATGGAACCTTTCTTGTGTCCTGGTTAAGAACCCAGGGGGAAATAGATGGCTTGTGAACACATTTTTATGATGTGGGGCCTGTGGCTGGCTGGCCTCGAAGATGAATGACGCCAAAATTAAATGCCCAGGGGCCAGTCTAAAGAAAAGAAGCTGCTATGCTGTTTGCCAATGGTATTGTTAGCTTAGATTTCAGGTTTCCTTAAATCTTCACTTCTCCTTTTTTATTCCTTCCACTCCAGCTCTCAATGAAGCCAGATTACTCTGCCTCTACATAATACATGGACATTTACGTATAGCTTGGTGGTGCTTGGGAAGAGCATGAAAAATATTTACACACCGCTCTT